TAAGTCAATGAAAGAAAAAATATATATTATCTTTTTTCTTGGTTATCCTGAAATTGAACTTTTTATTGTTTATGTAATTTGGGAGATGTTGGTTGAGAAAAGATGATAAAAAAAAAAGTTTTACATACTTGTGAATACTTGCATCAGATGTCTTACTAAAAATATATATATATATATATACATTCAGTTGTCTTGCTAAGAAGAAAAAAAGTGAAAAAAAAGAAAGATTATATGTCTAGCAGATTGAAAAAAAAAGAGATAGAAAATAATAGAAAGAATGAGTTGAAAAAAATATGAGCAAGTTGTAAATTGTGCTTCTAAAAGGTGAAGAGTCAAAGATTATGGAAAAAAGTTTGGTTGTGTAATGTATATGTTCTCTCGGGATAGTCTTTTGAATTCATAAATATCTTTCGTTTCAAAACCCTAATCCCAAGACCCCATTATAACCTTAAATAAAGTCCTATCTGATCTTAAGAGTGTATTGATGGATGCATGACTCGTGTGAATAAAAAAGAGAATGGTGATTGTTTATATATTGTGTGTTGATTTCCTTTCATAAGACTATGTCAAATCCTTTTCTTTTGGATTACGTTTTTTTTAATGGAACATGTGAGCATTATTTTATTTTGACTTAAATATCTTCTTCTCACATGTGATATTTGAGGGAATAATCACTATTATCTAAGAGAATCTTTTATGAGTGAATTATCTAGTGAGATTTGGCATTAAGATGAATAGTTGATGGTTGTAGAGGTGATTATCGGATAAATTATTGACTTGGTATAGTAAATTCACACTACACATGATTTTATATGGGAACATGATAAGTGCATACATTTATATAGCGTAGAATTTTATATTTTACTTTAGATGTGCTTATAAAAAGACTTGTATCTGAGAANTTTGGCTAAAATGCTAAGTTAGGGCTAGGGGAGAGCCTCTCAATGAAGTACGATAATATTATTGATTCTGAATTTAATGATTTATGATATTTTGTTAATTTAACTTCTGATCTTATAGCAAAATTTTTATTCTGTAAAAATCTTTGAGTCGTTGTGTCATGTACATCGATTGCTTGCTTGAATTTCCCTGAGAGTAAATAACTAATTATTTCAGGCTTGAGGTAATTATCATTATTTTATAAAATAATATAATTGGTTGATTATTCAGGTTCTTAAATAATCTTTTGATTGTAACTTTAAGATTTCTTACTTGATTTGTTACTTGAATTAACCGACATCTGATTCTTGTCTAAAGTTAAGATTTGAGTCTTTAATCATTATTGTACGGAATTGAGAGGGAGTACCAGATGTTCTAGTATTTTTATTATTGTTTTAATTATTTAAATCAATTTTCTTTACTCAACAATTCCCTAAACAAATCAGTTATTTTTAAGTTTGTTTTAGTATTTGTGTGATTGCTTTCNTCGACATCTGATTCTTGTATAAAGTTAAGATTTGAGTCTTTAATCATTATTGTACGGAATTGAGAGGGAGTACCAGATGTTCTAGTATTTTTATTATTGTTTTAATTATTTAAATCAATTTTCTTTACTCAACAATTCCCTAAACAAATCAGTTATTTTTAAGTTTGTTTTAGTATTTGTGTGATTGCTTTCTTGTTACAATTTCTTGAGGGTTCAACCTCGGTCTTCTGAAAAATATATTATTTCGCTCAACCTACGCTTGAGTTTATAATATTAAAGTTGAAGCAGAGAATATCGTAACTACCTCATCCGTTGAGAAGAGGTCGTCAGCTCCACCAGATTAGCTATTTAGTTACTATTAAGTCGTCTCAATCTATTAAGAGGCGACTATAAATTGTAAACTCCACCAACTNCATCGTAACTACCTCATCCGTTAAGAAGAGGTCATCAGCTCCACCAGATTAGCTATTTAGTTACTATTAAGTCGTCTTAATCTATTAAGAGGCGACTATAAATTGTAAACTCCACCAACTCTTAGGGGGTATATCACACTCAGTCGAGCACAACTCTCATATTTCTCTCAGCTTGTATCCTTANTATCGTAACTACCTCATCCGTTGAGAAGAGGTCGTCAGCTCCACCAGATTAGCTATTTAGTTACTATTAAGTCGTCTCAATCTATTAAGAGGCGACTATAAATTGTAAACTCCACCAACTCTTAGGGGGTATATCACACTCAGTCGAGCACAACTCTCATATTTCTCTCAGCTTGTATCCTTACTCTCCCTACACACTTGAAGTAATAAAATACCCCGACAACCCTAGCCCTTTAAATTGAACGTAGGTCATGTTGACCAAACCATTATATATCCTTATCTTGCTTGTGTCTCTCTTAATTATTGCATTTATTACTTATCACTTAACAGGTGGTGTGCAAATCCGATTTGTGCATCATCATATTCTAACTTTAATTGGGATAATTGGTAGTTTAATTTGATCGTTTGAACTACCAAATTAAATTTCAATAAATAATATAATTGTATATTAATTATGATTTTTTAAGAAAAAATTAAATTTTTATTTTTATTTTTATTTCAATAAATGTCATAATAGAATATGAACTTTAATTGTAAAATTTAAAATATTNCTAATGATGATTTTTTAAGAAAAAATTAAATTTTTATTTTTATTTTTATTTCAATAAATATCATAATAGAATATGAACTTTAATTGTAAAATTTAAAATATTTGATATTTTATTTTTAGTTGGAATATTTTTTGTTTAAGTATAACATTTTAAACTTGAGAAGTTTAAGTATTATTCACTTACAAATTTTAGGGGGTGTACATGTAATTTATTAACGGATATACTAAATGACATTGACCGCAAAGAGTCTAAGTGTTACACGCATACAAACTTTCAGGGGTCTGTGTGTAATATTTAAAATGTCAAGAAATCTGACTGATTAAGTGACAAACTTTAAGGGATCTGAGTGTAATTCTTTCTATTATTTTTTGTACTTAATTATTTTTCTTAAAATTGACAATATTATAACAAAAATCGTATTTTAACATGCTATCTACGGAGGGTTGATGATGCATTGAGGATTTTTTTATTGGTCCACTGGGAGAGAGTATTTTTTTTGTTCAATCATGTCTTTATATTTTGAATAGGAATTTTTTGTTGTTAAGAAACCCTAGGCTACCATGTACTTGTAAGGGGTTTTTTTTAATTTATGAATATTAAAATATTTTTATTTTATTTCTTTTGTGTTGAATTGTGAATTATTTTTTATCTTATTAGTTTATTAGATATGTATGCTTGCCGAGAGAAAACATTATTATAAATAAAATTTATTTTTTTAAGAAAAAAGAGTATTTGCTTCAGCTCAATACCTTACTTTTGCTCTAATTTTTTTACTTCTTTAATTTATCAATGTTAATACGTTTTTTGTTTTGACAATAGGTTGAAACTAACGTTTTTTCATTAGAGCTTTTTTACTATGCCCCTTTTGTTATGAATAAAGAACCGTTGAATCAAAATTCTCTTATTCTTGTAGTGACTGACAATTAAAAAAATGGTAATTTGGATAAAAACTCTGTTAAATTGCCACTTGAGGTGGATGATCATATCTTTATTTTGCTCTTTGTTTTGGCATATAAAGGACTTAGACTATGGTATCGGAAAAAAAAAAATTGGCACCATGTTTCTAAAATTTATTATTTTAAAGGGTATTTTTATAATTTTTGTGGGTCATTTTACAACTAAAAAAATCATCACTTTTATGGGTATTTTTACCACTTTTGTGAGTATTTTTACTACTCTTGTGATAACCATTTTTATTACTTTATTTGGTACAAAAAAAATTATTATTTTTATAAGTGATTTATCATTGTTGTGATAACTACTTTTACTATTTTTTTTGATACTACAACAATAACAAAAATACTCCTAATGTGATAAATATCAATGTTGTACCAAAATTTTGTTTTTTAGCCAACTCCAATAAAGAAAGTTCTGCCTCTGACAGTTACAGAAAATGCTACAAGGTTAAACTAGAGATGAAAATGGGTGTAGAAACTCATGCATACATTACTTGAGAGAAGTACATACCACTTGTCTAATTGCTCAAATTAACATATATATTCTCATATAAATATGACCAAATGGGACTTACATATTTCTAAGGAACAGAAGGGAGGAGTAGAACATATTTCTCACATTGACTGCAAAGAAATATATCAGGAACCTCTTCATTGTTTGGAATCCGAACACACCTTGTATGTTGCCAAACTTCACAAATGTCACACGATACGATTCGTTCGCCATCTTCATTTTTAGCTCCGCAAGGACA